CGTTAATACGCTCCTAACTGGACTGTGGTTCCATTGTCTATGGTGGAGCCTGCAAAAGCAATTTAGAAAAATTGGACACTGTACACAATCAAGGCCTAAGACTCTATCTTGGAGCTTTTAGGACCTCTCCCGTGGACAGTTTGTATGTGGAGGCCGATGAACCTTCACTCGAACTGCGCTGCATTAAACTTTCACTGCAATATATCACTAAATTGCACTCAAATAAATCTAATCCAGCATACAATTGTGTGTTCCACCCTCAATATGAAATCCTGTTTCAAAATCTATCAAACCTGGTTCCACCATTTAGAATCAGAATTCAACCACACATCACTACAGCTAAATTGGATTTAAATATTATTTCACCTCACCGTCTTCTGTATTCTCCTCCCTGGCAGATGGTGAAGCCAGAAGTAGACCTCACTCTAACCAATCTAAAAAAGTCGGATACCAATCCTTTGTTATATCAACAATCATATAACCTATTACGCTCCAAATATAGTTCTCACAGGTCCATTTTTACAGACGGGTCCAAGGATGGTGGCAAAGTTGCAAGTGCCACCGGCATTGGATCCAGAACTGTCTCCTCAAGAATACCAGATACCAGTTCAATTTTTACTGCTGAGGCCAAAGCTATCTTTACAGCTTTGACCTATATCAAACATCAAAACCAATCCAAAAATTTCATCATTTTCTCCGATTCATTATCATGCCTTCGGGCACTTAAAAGTATCCCCTCAAATCATCCTATAATCCTTGACATTTTAGAACTCTATAATGATCTTTCTACTGGCCAATATGACATCGTCTTCTGCTGGTTACCAAGTCATGTAGGCATAACAGGTAACTCAAAAGCCGATACTGCAGCTAAAGCAGCTCTTGACAAACAGTTGTCTCCACTCTTTATCCCGTACAGTGATTTCAAACCAACCATCAGATCTTATACTCGGGATCTCATGCAAAAGAGGTGGGACACCCAAGTAGGAAGCAATAAACTACACGAATTGAAACCAACAATCGGTCATACCTACTTGGGTTGTCAGTCAAGACATGACGAGGTCGTTTTACGACGGTGTCGTATTGGCCACAGTCGGTTTACACACGAATATCTGCTTAAGACAGATGAGGACGAACCTCCTAAGTGTATCCCTTGTGATGAAAGGTTCACCGTCAAGCATATATTGCTTGACTGTGAGGACTTTGCAATCGCAAGGGATTCACATTATCAAAGTGTAAATCTAAAAGATCTCTTTTCCCGTGTCAGCGGGCATTTCATCATAAATTACTTGAAAGAAATTGGTCTGTATAATAAATTTTAAATATGTATGTGAATTTGGTGTGATGTTGTTAGCACCTGACATTATTAAAGGCTCTGTTCATCAATTTACATCAATTGTTTTTAAATATGACATTGCATAAATAACTAAATTGTGTATATATTAGCTTGGTCTCGTTGCTATATGGCTGAAATAATGCCGATGCGACGTTAAATTTTAACTCACTCTCTCACTTTACCCAGCATGTAAATTATCTTGTCCATCAAAAACATCGACGAGTATAAAGAATATGTTCCCTCAGGTAATACATGTCATACATTTGACAAAATGTATTTACTTATTATTGTTAATCACAGCGTATAGAATCGGCATGCAGTTGAACTCATCACCCATCCCATTATTGATAATTCTTCTTGAAGATCTATGAAATCAGAAGCTGCAATAGCGCATTTTTACACTTGATCTTTGAATTGGCATGTTAGACTTCTATTTCATAACTCAGTTTTATTTGCATGGATCACTATGGAATGGACATTGTCAAGTTGTCGTATTGTCGCATTGACGCCCCTACAAAAACAAGCAAAACGTGTCAAAATAGAAAAAAGCGACAACGCGACATTTTGGCCATTTGCCGCATTGTCGCTCTTTGAATAACCTTTTTCTTTATTTTACAAAAGGGCGACGATGCCGTAACGCGACATTTTCAAGGTCAAAATATGTCTCGTTGTCGCCCCATCACAAATGTGTATAAAAGGCGTACATTTCAGTTAATGTTACAGTTAGGAAGCGGTAACCAAGTTATACCTGTCGTTGAAGTTCATCCTGATACATGTACGTCTTGAAATGAAAACACAAGTCCGTCCGCGAGTCCATAACGTTTTATTGTGAGCTCTTCTCCACAAGTGCTTAGTGTTTAACTCCCAGTTCCAAACACGTAGTACCTCATCAACAATCCACGTACCTCTAGTGCAGTGATCGTCCGGAAGATCTTACTCTTGACCGTATCAGACAACTGACGAGTGCACGCCTAACCTGTGACCTCGTTACAACCCCAATGAGGTGTTTGCCGAAGGGAGAGGGGTAGGAAATGTGTGCTCCATCCCAAGATTCAAGATTCAATTGGCAATTATTTCGTATACAACAGACCGCCGTCATATATCACTGGAATACTGCTGTGAGCGGCGTTAAAACAATTTGTTTTCATAATGGAATGCTGCAGTTATTTAAAATAGAACCGTATACGTATGTAGTACCAACTTACTCACTCTGTTTCGAATATTCAGCAGAAAATATATTACTAACCAGGTCTTTGGGGAGAGATATGAGATCAGATAGCAGTCAAATAGGGATGATAAAGAACCCCTCACTGATTAGGTTCTTGTTTACTTAAGAGCAGAGTTGACCATGTTAGATGATATAACCAAAATCCAGGAGCTCCGGCGGGGGGCAAACTGGTCATGTTATTGTGTGGAATGAGCTGTGACGTAGACCCAAGAGAATAATGTAAAAACTCAACTCAGCTCAAGTCTATAACGATTTGGAAAGTCTAGACTTCAACAGCTCTTGCCTGAAATTAAGAATTGTTCTGTGCTCCTTTTTAATTGTAATATTTTCATTTTGTAGACATGGATAGACCAACCAGGAAAGAAACTGATGGAATATTAATATTACATGTTACCACTGATCCAGTTAAATTCATCACACAATGATATAGTAGTATTTGATATCACGGCATTTGATTATCAGGGCATGATCATGTACATGTTCACTGTAGTAATGTACATAGTAGTCAACTTGATTATAATTTTTATTATAGTGTAGCGCGGCATTAACGATTACTTTATGATATCCTCACTTGTCATCGATGTATTGACATCGAACAATGGACGACAATTCGAAATTCTTATTCGAGCTATAAATAGCTTCAATAGGGACAGTGCCGGTGTCAGTAAAATTTTCGTTGTTAAATATATATATCTACAAAATACAATCAATCTGAAGCAGCCAAGAATAATACTTTTTATCAATGCTTACTTTCATGGATAGAATTGAGGCAATCTAGGCTTGCCGAAACGTTCTTGACTTGAGATGGATTCCTTTTAAATTTATTCTCTATGGTCTGGGAGACGTCCAAGGGCGTCATTACGGCATGGAGAATTGTGTCAGCCTGGTTCAGTGTAATCGGATATGTTGTGGAGTTTCGGGTTTGGGCTGTTTGCTGAATAGAACAAGGGTTCACGAACAAGGGCACAATGTAGAGATTAAATCATTACCACCTCTTTTTATATCAGATATGTTATTGTGATTTGAAATCGCTTTTGAACAATTGCGAGTTATTGTATTCTATGTATTCTTTCGTCATGGTAGAATATGTATTTTCTATGTTGCTTTTTTATACATCCACAAATAATGAGAACTACATTGTAAACCTCTCTCTGGAGATATACAATAAGACTACTGAAGGGCATATCTGAAAAATGGGACTAATCGACTAAATACTGTCCGTTACAGGCATTCCAATAATTATACTTTGTATAGTTTAAAAGTCAAATAATGGCAAATTGTGTATCTCTCTACATTTGGAATTCATTATAACTTCTGCAATAAAACCTTAACATCAGATAGTGAAGTAAACGAATATGATCTATACTGTGATAAATGAATTATTAATTTCGTATTATGAATTAAATAAACTGAAATATGATAGTAAAAACATTTTTTTTTAATATGTTCGTGTGAGTAGTTAACGAGAGATCTAGGCAACTCACTAAGGTAACCATTTGTGAAAAATCAAATATTCAAAGTTTAGGGGTTTGAACATGAACATTGAATGACATACAAGAAAGCAACGCAATAATTAACTTATGAATCAAATTATGTTATAAATATAACAAAATATATAGACAATATAAGTTTAATTTCTCATTGTTGGAAGGTATTTAATGATAGTTTTTGTTTGATTGTTTGTTGAATGATATGTCCATACACGCCAATTAAATTGGTTAGACTGCATATGGTTCAATGATGAGTTCTTTTACAAGTCCATATTCAAAGACATGTATTTGATATTCATAATAACTCCACAAAAGCTACACAATGACGACAAAACGGTACCAGCACCACAGATACCAATAATACATTTTTGAACATGAGATACATACAATAATATACATCTACGTTGTATACTGACACCGTGTGTGTCCATGTACCATTATATGCAGCTACGTTTTATACTGACACCGTGTGTGTCCATGTACCATTATATACAGCTGCGTTGTGTACTGACACCATGTGTTTCCAGGTACCATTATATACAGCTACGTTGTGTACTGACGCCCTTTGTGTCCATGTACCATAATGTGCAGCTGCGTTGAATACTGACACCATGTGTCCACAATCATTATATACAGCTACTTTGTATACTGACACCGCGTGTCCAAAACTGACTACGCTTGTGTCAATGTACCATTATATGCAGCTACGTTGGATACTTACACCGTGTGTGTCCATGTACGATCATATTCAGTTACGTTGTATACTGACACTGCGTGTGTCCATGTACCATGACATGCCCATGTACCATTACATACAGCTACGTTGTATACTGACAACGTGTGATTACATACAGCTAGTAGAATCCATCCAGGTTCACTGTTACAACATCTGAGTGAAAATGCGGTCTCTTATCTATATCGGATGTCAATTGTCTCTCAAAAGAATCAATTTGCCAGGTTTTACACTTTAATATGAGAACATTTTATGTCCCGCCTGTTGAATATATCACCATGGTGATTATCCAACAAGGCCTCCGTCAGTAATCCTGAAAAGTAAAGGAATGCTATGCAATAATCTAACACAGTGAAATGAAGTCTTGCAATTGGTAATGTTTGTAGCCGTGAACAATTATAGAATATAAATGAAGGTTACGATGTTTAAAAGGCAGTCGAGGAACCAATTGATTGCATCGCTTCATGATAACAGTATAGTTTACTTGAGCACCAAACTCATTACGGGTAATATCAGCAATAAAACATACTGTTTTTCGCAGATGAACCTTTCTTGTATGTGGCACGGTAGATCACCCCATTTGTAGTTGTAATCGGGCCAAATGACCATACAGTCTCCACAGGTTGCACAACCATCAGGCTGGCCGGGTTCCCAGTTTGTGTATGTCACACGTTCTCCACTCGGGGACCATTTCCATATTCCCTCTATCTCGATGTCATTGCCACCTATCCATGTCTTCATATCAGCACCAATATCTGCATGTGCATTAAAAATTAACCGAATGTGTACTATCATGTTGAAATAATTTATTATAACTGTTTGCACAAATGAAATTGCACTTGATCTAATACATGGGAAGTGTCATAACAACGTAAAATAAACTCAGCAAAAATAGAAACGCAAACGTATTTTTAAATGTATATTTGATGTCTCATATACATATTAAGCAGATGGTAATCGATTGTTCAAAATTCGCACTCATCATTGTCATTGACCCAGGTTCCAATATAGAACAGTAGATTTTCAAGGTGAAGGTCATCTCTTCTCAATATCTTGTTTGGCCACCATTAAAGTCCTAAACTGGCTGGCATCGTCGTCCGATCCCATGGAAGAAATCAGATCCCGAATTGTGGCCTGGGGAATGACTGCAGTGCTTGTGCCAACTGTTGGAGTGGCACACTGTTCTGTGGTTGTTGCTGACGTGCTCGCAGTCGTTGATACAGTGCATCCCCCACATGTTAGTTTTATCTTGAGACCCGGAGGGCCATGGCAGGATCTGGATGTTGTGTTTCCTGAGTGAGTGAGTATGGTTTTACGCCGCTTTTAGCAATATTCCAGCAATATCACGGCGGGGGACACCAGAAATGGGCTTCACACACTATACCCATGTCGGGAATCGAACCCGGGTCTTAGGCGTGAAGAGCGGATGCTTTAACCACTAGGCTACCCGACCGCCCCTGTGATTCCTGTTGTCAGTCTTGCCGTGTGAGGACGGGCGTTGGATAACGGGAAGGACGGGTGGCGAAAAATCTCATCCGTGTAACGTTGTGCCGTTAAATTCCCCAGCACTTGTACCAAGTCTGTTCTACACGTCTAAAAGATGGCTGCCCACATCATCACACTACCACCACCAAATCTGTCCACTTCCTGTATGCAGATCTTGCAGAACGTTCCGAGACGTATGTAAACACGACGTCTACCATCCGCACGGCGAAGCATAAAACGTTACTCGTTACTCTGCCAAACTTGTCTCAATCGCAGATGCGGCCATGTTCTGTGACATTGACACCATTGACGTCAAGGCCGACGATGCAGGTCCGTCAAAATGACACCTCGAACTGGTCGTCTAGCGACTTCAGCTCCGTAAAACGGTTCCCAAATGTCAGGGCTGATATCCTACGCAATCCTGGCATTGTCGTAGCTGTAGAGGTGGCCGAGGTGATTCGAGTGACGTAGTGGTATGAATCTGTCCTGTGCTCTAGTAGAGATACTTGGTCGACCGGATCTGGGAAGGTCACTTGTTGTTCCGTATGTCCGATAACGGTTCCACTTTCTTGTAATTGTGCTTGGTGCTTCGTGGAAAAACCTGGCTACGACCAAAATGATTCTCGGTAGGCTGATGACGTTGAAGCGTGAGGATTAAGTTAGTGGTGGCATTTTTTAGCTGTTGTCTTGCTGTAAGATTAGGATGGCATGCAAATGAAACCCAACGTTTTCATAGCTAACAAGTGATGATGCACGTGCATGTCATGTTGGTGTGTTTCAGCGCCAGGCACTCACGTGGTTGTGTTTTTGCGAGTTTTCCATCTGGGCATTAAATTTCTGCAGTACCTCATTCTTTCCAAATAAATCAATCCCAATATATGCAGAAATAATCAATTCATTTTCGGTATTAATTTTGTATTGACATCGACAACACTCTGTAAGATATTTACGACTTTACTAATTTTGCGTTTCGTTTTGTGCAGAGTATATATAGTTTGCATTCATCATGTGCACTTTAAGTATTACCGCCAAACACCTTCAGATAACCAGTTATGAATGCATTTTCTTCGACAGTCTCGATAGCTGCTAAAGCCGCTCCCATCGACACACATTGTTGCTGAAAAACGTCAAGATATTTAAACATTTACCACCAGTGTCACTGGGTTGATATTGTGCATATGTAAAACTTTGATATTCAGTATGAATACAAATATACAATTGTGTAACACTAGTCGCCAACAAAATGTTTCATGTCAGTTTTCCTTGACGGCACACCTGATAAGAAAATGCAAGCCACAATATGAGTTATCACTATGACCACCATAAGGGGACGTGCTGTATTACGTTTGTTATTAATAAATAATTGCTTTTCCATGTTAACATTTTTTCGTTAGCCACAATGTTCATTTTGCTGAAGCATCACAATAATGGTCCATGTATGTCGCACAAACGTGAATAAGTGATTTCATGTACCTGCTTATTTAAAACATTTTCACTATATATAGCAGACGTTATGTTATTAAAAATGTTATTTGTATTTTGTTCCTTTATATTTCAAGGCCTGATCAATGCCTTTACAGCTGACATTGAATGGGATTTAAGTGGCAGTCCTCTTTGGTGGATTTGTAGAATGTTTACCTCTGTAAATGGTGGTGAAATGGTGTTTTACGTCGCGTTCAAGATTACTGCACTTATAAAGCGACGTGACCAATAAAATGAAAATTATGTAAGTATGTGAGGTTCCTTCTTAGATATACAAAGGATGTCATGTCAAAATTGTTTTCGCTTGAAAAATTTGAAACCGTGAAAAGGAAATTAGCTTTGTTTGTTATTTGCTTCTTCACACGTTCCAACGTTTAGTTCTTTAAACCAAAATCTATGAACATGTTAGGAAGCAATATTATAGCAATGGTACAATGTTTAGGTAAAAATTCCGGTTCATGATACATATATGTCTGTCTTAAAAACTGATGAATTACATAAATATTTACATAAATATTTTTATTTTTTGTGTATTACAACCTTTATGGATATCATACATATACTTACCGATGCCTCCATCCATGTCTCCGGGGTACCAATAAACATGTAGCAGGAATTACCGTACCGGATCCATGCATCTGGACAGCGATCGCCTGGGAATTAAGCGTATCCGGTATCTATGGTGACCAATATAAATCTAACATATGTCTGAAAGCTTCTTGTAAAATATTCAAGAGGAAAAAACAACAACTACACAATTCTATGGAAATGGAAATCTTAGTTTATGCTCATTGTATGTATCAAATCAAATTAAATCATGTCTCCGATATTGATACTACGCTGGTGTGGCGTAACTGTCGTTCTTTTATACTTATATTGTGATAGAAATCCTTATATTCTATAAAATGTGGTGACCATCTTCAGAGGTTCAGGATAATTTGATTCAAAGAACGTCGTACAGATCTTGCTCAAAAGTTGTGTGTTTGTTACACTAATGAAGGCCTCAGTAAAACTTTCGAAGTGTTTCATAGGAGACATGCTGATGGCATTCCAAAATAATGTCCGATCAAATTCCCTTTGTTGACTTCAATTTGTTCAGCTGCACTTACATGTTTTTTATGACGGGTGCCGCCGGTGGAGCAGGATAAAGGCATGCTAACCTTTTCGCGAATACCTGCTATCATCACTTTTTGATAGTACTTCACAAACACATGCTTATGAGTGAGTGATTTGGGTTGATCACCACATTGAACAGTATTCCAGTTAAATCACGGTATTATTTATGTTTATGCTTATGAGTGAGTGAGTGACCGGGTGAGTGAGCGAGACGAGTTACACATGTTCATGATGCAGTCGGAATTGTACAATGGACACTGCTTTAGCAAAGAATACCCATTGTACAGATAAAAATCAAATTCGGATGAATATTGACGATATTCTACGTTTGTACCTTCAATATGTACTATCTGAAGTAGTAGCAGAAAAATAAACACCAACATCCTGTTAATTCGACAAACACATCCACCAACGAAATATTGTCCTTATCTTACTTCAGTGTGACGTCATTGCATGTAACATAACAGCTGTTCTTATTGACCAAACTTTTATCGCATATTACGTTTCTTTTGTGTAAATTAATGTAGCTGTCTATCTGCACCTACAACAGTACTGTCTCAGATCACGGTGTTCTTAATAATACAGCTTTAATTCCATTCTTTCTTATCAAAGTGTTACGAAAACACAAACGTGCAGTAATTATGTATACAAGCCTCACTATCGAACATGAATTTGCTAAATACTTTTTTTATATTACGTTAATAATAATGATAATAATATACTGAACCGCAAAATAAACGTCACCATTGATAAATATACGAGAAACCTTATTTGTCCAAACTCTGTAAACATACGTTGAGAGATACTGAAAAGATGAAACTAGGCAAAACTGATCATCAAGGTTGAAGTGTCAACTGTTCTTAAAGTGAAACACAACACTATCACTGCAAACACGAAAACGTCGTTTTTATCCGTATATGGTCATTGGACGGAAAAACGACAGAAAAGCATGCATTCCATGCAAAAGTTGACTTTTATAAAATGCAAGCCCCATGCATTTCACTACCCAAGAATGGGTATGAAAACATGTGCGTTAACGGGATTCCATATGTATTGTTTAGCACCTTGCTGACAACAACAACTCAGAAAAACAACAAAGTGACACTGCAAACACGAGAACGTCGTTTTTTTCCGTATATGTTCATTGGACGGAACAAACGACGTTATTTGGACGTTTTCAAACCATCGTTTTTCCGTCCAAATAACGTCGTTATTTGACATCGGAATTTACTGGGAGATAACGATAGCGTTAAGCTCCTCCCTTTCTTGATTGACATTGTCAATCAAGCAACAGCGTCTACCGGTATTTCTACTTCTCAGATTTCATTGGTCAGTCCCCGCGTGTTAGATTACAGGCCCGCGTTTGACGCTGCACTCGAAGCGCTTAGCGGAAGTACTGAAATCAATCGTTCTGCGCATGCGGATTACTTAATGCCTTGACCAAATTTTCCGTTCTGTGCATGCGCAATTTCGCGAATTGTTTCCTAGATTTAATGTCACCACTATTTGACAATGGTTCATAAACACAGTCACGTGAAGGTTCGGAATCGTAACGAGTAACTCCATTTAAATTGAAGAGGATCCCCAGTGATATGGGAGATTCCAAGATGAAACTATTCTATGGCTATCTAGGCTGCCACCCAAACCGATCTAAACGGGACCCGATAGCTTATTGTATGCTATATAGTCATATGGAAGTGGACAAGAACTATACATTGTATTCCGGCCGATTGTTCTTGCATTTACTTATAAGTCAGGAAAATGGACTTAAAAGGGGAGTTGTTGAATGTAATTATTTTAATTATTAAATGTTCCCTTTACACTAATCTGGACGAACTTCTCATTGTTCTGTTTATGTCATCCTATATACTATTAGTATGTTACCGTTCTAAAGTCAACCTGTCACATAACATTATATTGTTCATAGTATCAAAGTTTAATCAACAATATCAAGAGCAGCGATTTAAACCACTGAAACATCCAAACACAAGGCTGTTATCAAGCGCTAGTGCAGACGTGATGCATCGTAAAAACTGTATCGTGATGTCTTCAGAAATTCAATTATACTGCGAGATAGTACGGCTAACGCTGACTCACCGGTGGAACAAAGACAATATCGCTAATACAGATATAACGTATACTAAAGAAAAACGATCATTATTTTTGCAGTGACGATATAACACGTATACACGTTTATTGTTAACTTTCATCAGTTTTGCTCTTCATTTTAATAACTTTGTTTTCACATATATATGTAGCAATATCCGACAAGCATGTCATACATAATTATGGGGCAGTTTTCAATCTTGTACTGACTTACTCTGGTGTTAATGAGCGAAGTTTATTGGCTTGTGTGTAAAACCCCGTTTTTCTGGTAATCCTATTATTACTTAGTTTATTTCTATCTAATGACACCCTGTTCTCTGGATCATGGCCCTTGACTATCCATAACAATTAAGATGAACATTCAGTTCAAGTAAATGAATGAGTTTGTTTTGACGCTACATTTAGTCAAAAAACCAATGCAGTGAGGTTTGATAATACACTTCTACCAGGTCGAACATCGTGGATCCTCATTTTCTGCCTGAAGAGAATCATAGTTCATATGCTAATCCATCTGCGAATACCCTCCCACTCAAGATGACCTTACTTGTTGCTAAATCTATCATCTATCCCCCCAATCTCACCCCCCCCCCCCCCCCCCCCAACACGCCCCAACGCCCCCACACGCACGCACGCACGCACGCACGCACACACGCACACACGCACGCACACACACACACACACACACACACACACAACTGACCTAAATAACATGGACAGGAAATACTGCTGATAGACTCTGGTCAACTCAGCCGCGCCACCGCAGAATGTTCGTCCAACTCTACAGGGGGCATTCTCAGTGGCTTCAAACGCGCTGAAATGTTTTCGCCTTGCTTCCAAGATGGTGGACAAGTGAAATCGTATGAAATTTGGCTATTTTAGGTCCTATCTCTTTTTTGATTACCCAATAAAGTCAATTCATAGTTACACGGTTGTGAAGAAGCTTACAACTTTATAAGACTTATTCATCTCATTCCAAAAAAGCTACTCGCGCTCACATAAAGTTGTAGTTATTATGTCCCTGTTTTATTTCTTTAAAAATATATTTATTACTGTAACGTTAAAACATGTATCTAAATAGAAAATTAGAAGAATTAAAAATATACACTTGCGACATTTTTTGTAATTTTTTTTCGTTTGGATAGGGAGAAGTAGTGACTAGTATCTGATGGGTTTTCCCTTGCGCCGAGGCCTTTCTGCAATGCTACAATCCCACATGAAATAAGCCAAGATGATCAACAGGGGCTCCTTTTAAATTCAAATATAGTTTCGCGTTTTAATCAAAATAATATATTTTCAGAGACTAAGCGTTAGTCTAGCCGTGAAGTACAACTATCCAAACGATCCCATGCATGTCTATATATCTTCAGCCAGACTCTCCATGTTCCTATCGATATGTGTCAAAAGACAAATGCATTAAATATTACATCACAGGTGAATAGGTTGTATGCGCATGTCTGCGTCGATCCTACAATATCCTTTAGCGCAAAATACATATATACCGATGAATTAACGTAGTAATACTACGCAAATATATGCCCAGATGTATACATCAGTATCATCTCATGATCCTTATTCGTGCTTTAAGCTATTTTTCGACAGGAGATTATGGGGCGTTACATCACACCAGAAAGCAAGGTCCAAATTCAAGTCATAATTGCATGGTCCGTCTTGTGTGTTGGAAACAAATATCGCAATATGGCTGAATATATGCTAAACGTGGTATTAACCCGATTACTCACATAATTATTCTATTTTCTTCATTCACATTCAACAATCATCTACGAACACTTTCTGTAAGGAAATATCTATATTCATCCAAATGTCCATACATATATGTCCATATACGTATATATGTATAACGCAAGTCATCCTGCACTCTTCCTTAAAAGGTAAGTGCTAAGCATTTCCTCTATATGTATTTATATATGTAAATATCGTTTTAATGTCAACGCTGATGCAGTGAACGTACCACAGACCTGAAGCTGGAATAACATCTAATCACTGAAATGAACATATTTTACCGAAAATACCTGTTGTTAAACAATAGTTATAAAATATAATAAAAAGGAGCCAAGAGACTTTCTTCATTTTGCCAAATATTGGGCTGTATTGGACATATTTGTTTCGGGGTCTGTATGACAGATAAGTGAGTGAGTGAGTTGGGTCTAACGCCGCCCTTAACAGTATTCCAGTTATATTGCGGCGTGTCAGCTTTATGTTGGAGGAAAGCTCGAAGTGATGCAGGTCTCAGACGTCTACCACTTCGGTGAAACCCACGAGCACGGGTATGGTGCTGAGAAACCTCGAAACATAAAGAGGGCGAACAGGGATTCGAACCCACAATCATAGGTATCGGGCGTGCCCAAAGGACGCAACTCTGCACAGCGAATCGCGGCGCCTTAGACGACTTGGCCACCCGTGCCCCCTCTATGACAGGCAAACCTGATGCTTTTAAGTATGAAGATAAGGAAGTATAGCTGTTGTATATATTCAAATATGTTTGTTATTAACCCAACCTTGAAAAATATTGAAAGATGAGTGGTAACTATTTATGTTATTATTTCAAATTAAAATGATAGCGCATCAGGAAAGCATGTCACTTTAATATACGTATCTTGTTAATCTTGTTAAGTAAGAGCAGCATACTATATTGAGAGTATAGGTTTGGTGCGTGACTTATCACACATTACTTTCAGAAAGTTTGCATATTCTGTTTACCGACAATAAATGACATAAGACGATTCATACGGGTAAAACAATTTACTTCAGAACTGGTATAGATTACTTAAAGTTAGGGGAAAATGTATGTAATTAACAGAACTTTGTGCGGGTTTAAAGGATTTCGGTCCTGGCTTGGGCTTTGTTGGACGTGTAGACGGCATTTCCGGGTTTGACGTATCATTGACCAAAATGATGTCTGATGCAATTCTCTGCCTTTTCGGGTGAACAATTGGCTTGCCTTTGCATGTGTTTGTGGCGGGTGCCACCAGTGGATCGGAATGAGCTCGCGCCTTTGCGAGCACCCAGTGTCATCATTTTTATCGTGAATCATGAAACATGCTCCTGGTGTTGTCGTGATCGTGCAGTTGCCGCTACTTTTGGCAAGGGTTTCTTATGATAATGGAAATGCTTATGTCGCTTTTGTTGACTGATAAACATGAAAAGATATAATGTCAGTGTATATGGTTATGTAATTAAGACGACGATAAACAAGGACCCCGACTCATGTATTTCTATATGCGATATCAACATTACGTACAGCGTCTGTAAGGGTGTTAAATTAGGAAAAAGTACACGCTTTAAAAT